AGCCTTTGCTTATGTGCAAAGCCCCAGGTTTAATTCATAGCACTGTAGTGAAATTGGGGGTGGAGAGAAGCAGGAAAGTTTGAAAGTTTCCAATGAGGTAGGACACCCATATGTCCCCTATACACAAAGCCTCAAATTATTTGAATACCTTCAATTTCTGATTATGCCTAAAGATAGTTATTAATGAGCCAGGTGTGATGGCACACACATCTGAAAAATGATCTGGAAAGCAGGCACACCAATTGCTCAGTGCTGGCAAACACTGCCCTCTGTTGGCAGAAGATGACTGCTGTGAAGTCAAGCTGATTGTTTCTTAGAGACAGTCTATTGTGTAGCTCTGGCTGTCCAGGAACTTGCCCTCTTCTGACCTCAGCAGGCACCAAGCACGAGTATGGTGCACATACATACATGCAGGCAAGCACTCATACACATAAAGTACAACAGACAAACCTTGAAAAAAAAATTCTACTGAAACCAACTTTAACCTGGTGCATACAACTCCATTAAGAATACAAAGTTTGCCCGGCAGTGGTGGCACACGCCTTTAATCCCAGCATTTGGGAGGCAGAGACAGGTGGATTTCTGAGTTTGAGGTTCAGCCTCGTCCACAGAGTGAGTTCCAGGGCAGCCAGGGGGAAAAAAAAAGAAAGGAAAAAAAAAAAAAAAGAGAGAAAAGAAAAAAGATGCAAAGTTCGCTGGGTGTGATGGTACACACCTCTCATCCCAGCACTCAGGTGGTAACTTCAAGGCCTGCCTGCAAGTTTGAGAGTTTCAGGACAGCCATGGCTACATAGAGAAACCCTGTCTTGAAAAAAATAAAACAACAACAAAAAACCAACAGCAGAATACAAAGTTTCAGAGCCATGGTGGTACGTACATACTGTTTAATCCAAGTACTCAGGAAGTAGAAGCAGGTGGATTTTGTAAGTTCAAGGCCAGCCTGGCCTATAAAGTGACTTCTAGGACAGCAGAGCCTATGCAGAGATTCTGTCTTAAAACAAACAAAAAACCTTATATAATCCCCCACAGAAGATACAATTATCGTTAGAGCAAATATTTGGCTATTTTGGCAAGCAAGTAAAACGTTGGGGAGTACTCAAATAGCTAGTCTCCGCTGAGTTCCAAAGAGGGACCATACACCACGTTCCCAATCTAAGCAGTAACACACCACAGAAAGGACTGTGGTTTTTTACCCTTGGAAAGGGCACTTTTCCTTCAGAAAGTGATTCTGGCTTCAGTAGCTGGTCTGGTACAGTGTCTGTTCCAAGATGGCTTAGCATAGTTCCAGTAAGTACTTGACACTTTGCGTCCTGGAAGCATTAAAAAGCACTAACTTTCCTTATACATCTGGTTGTTCAACTTCAATTGCCCTTCTCACTTTGCAACTTTACAGATGAGAAAAACTGCAGAGAGATCACATACATACCCAATCCCTCTTCATCAATCAAAAACTCAGTCAACCTATTATCCTTTGACTCAATGTTCCTAGGCACTGACTTCTGATGTGTTCCCTTTTCAACACGGGTGGAGTCAGACAGTGATGGGCTAAGGTAACTGCTGCACAATGGTTAGTGTAATTGCTCTGAATATCCCAAAAAGCACACAAAGCACACGTCTGGGTTACAAAAGCCCTTTTATAAAGCCATTTTTAAACAAAACAAACCAAAAGGCTTACAAAAGAAAAGAAAAAGATACAGAAAAAGAATACTTGCTTCATATGTCCCCAAGAGAAAAAAATAAGGGGACAATACCAACATGCTCAACAATAAGGGGTTCTTTTCCTTATTTCTTAATACAAAATACAGGCAAAGGATACACATACTTAAAACAAAGTTCAGGAACAGACAGCAGTCCTGGAAATCCTTCAATTGGAGCAAGGCAAGAGTTTGTTGTTGCTGTTTATGCAAATGCGTACAGACCAGGATATGTAAATGAAATGAAGTGTCACATCAGACCACCACGTGAGCCTACCAACGCATGTCGCATCTATAATACATGAACATGGTCAACAAAATCACGTTCACTTCAACTCGGTTTCATTTAAATTAAAGAAGAAAACCTTTAAATAAAGTGGTTACATTCAAAATTTAGCTTCCTTAGTACCACGCTGCAGATTTCAGCACTGCTAAGGTATTGCAAGAATGCCCAACCCTCTGCTGTCTAGCCATGTATCCAGCCACACTGCAGTATAAAGAAAAGGCTGCCAGGCTCTCAGCCTGTGGCCTAAGACAGATAGTTAGGCTAGCTTTCTGACCCTTTCTGCTCAGAACATGAAAGATTCAAGACTAAAATGGAGGAAGACTAGTAGGAGTTTTCAGAACTGACAAATTAAGTCTAAAAGATGAATGAAGGCAAACAAAGGCATTGAAAAGATGATCGTGGCGGCTGAGCAGCCTGGCAAAGTCTTGTGCCTTGCAGGAATGAAGCATGTAAGGTTTGCTGCAATATGTTCACGGTACATGGACTATGTAGAGCTCTTATTTACAAGTCTTGTAACAAATACTTCCAGAGGAAAAGGGAAAAAATTCACTAACTTCCAGAAGGCAAAGGTTTAATTGCCAGACATTTACAAACGCACTCACACATACCCATATCACACTTCAGGGTTTTATACATGTTATTTTTAGGGCATAACTGAGTACTATACTCCCTAACCCTCCATAAAAAGCAAAAACACCAAAACCCCCAAAACAAAACAAAAACACCAAAAAACAACAACAAAAAACCACAAAAAAACAAAACAAAAAATCCCCCAAAACTGAAAAAAACCAACACCCCCAAAATCAATTTACCCTCCCCAATGATCTAGAAAACCCCTCACCCAATATACAAAGTGTCCACCCAACTGTGATGCTCTACAGCCAGAGCATGCTCAGATGTCACCACTTCATTCTTCATTGGCATGGCAACAGGTAGGCATATGGGATCCTCCTAGTGGTTAGTACAACCACACCACTATGAATTAGGCTTTTAACGAAAGTATAATCTATGGATTTGATATTCAGAATTATGTATTTTCTAAGACAAAGGGAAAAGGAGGTTCAAATTAGCAACATGGCTATTGACAGCTTGACATTGAAATACTCAAAAAAAAAAAAAAAACCCAACAAACAAAAAACCAAGAACTCCCCATCTTCAAGTAACTCAGCAGCTTCCTCCAGAGAGAAAATGATAATATTCTACTCTCAAGAGCAACCAGTGGCTTTAACTTCCCCTCTCCTTTGGCAAGAAGCGTGTACTGCTTGTTTCTGACCTCCATCTGCACACCATGAAGTGCTGAGCCTGCATTTCTTCCTACCTAGTCACAGGTGGGAATGTTTCTAGTGTAGCTTCTGGTGCTACAGTAAAGAGAACTGTCCACACAGGCAGCAACAAAGCTTTGTTTCTTCTATTCAAGTCTGCTCTGGCAGGGGCCCCTAAACCTGAGTTTTGTTTACACTATTTCCCCTCTCCAATCTACATGTTCGTGGACATAAAAAGCCCACTTAAAAAAGTGTCACCTGTCATGGTTGCATTAATCCCAGCAGTGTTTGAGTGAGGGGTAGGGGGAAAAAAGACTCCGACAGATTAGAGTGAAACCAGGCCTCAAAAAAAGGTCAAGATCAGCTGATTATAGTCATCAAAAGTTCTTTTAGATTATAACCTCAAATTCCACTGATTTTTATGTGCTATCTGAACTAGTACCATATATAAGCTTTGAAGACAGGAAAAAAATCATTTATTTTGAAAACAAAACATGAGTTTAAGATTAGCCATGTAGCAAGCTCAAGGCCAGCCTGGGGTACACAAAATACTGGGGGTTTTTGGTAAAGTGTTTGTGGGGATCCTCTCATTACTCTAGAAAAAGAAACATTCATCCTACCATTAGTTTTCCTTTGTAAGATTAATATGGGGAGGGAGGTACTGAAAGCACTTAAGTGTTTCAGCAGATATTTAAAATATACCCTTTGGGTCCTCTCTCCCAAACCCCATCAGTGGTAGATGGTTAAAAGCAGCAGTGAATTGCCACTGGGCAACACAGAGGCTACCACTTCTGACAGGGGAAGACAAAGGCTTTAAGCAGAGCCTGAAGAACTAGAAAGTAGTGTTAGCTGAACTGCTCCATCTATTAAAGAGGTAAACCTAGCTGAGCTTCTGTAACAGACAAGCACCTTCAAATGAACATCCCATTCCTGAGCACTGCAAATTAAGACAGTGAATACATTGCCACTTCACTATAGGCACACTAGAAAGAAAAAGAGGACGGAGAGTAAGCCATGGAGGTGCCAAGGACCAGTTACTAAGAACGTATGAACATACCCTCATGTCATTATTACACCTAACTGCTGAGCACCTGTTTCCAGTTGAGTCACATTAAATGTCTTCCTGTTTGCATGCATGATTTGAAGGGAAGACCAGAGTGTTATAAACCACTAAAAAAAAGTGAAAACAAGGTCACTTAGAGCCTGTGTGCTCACTTGTGACACCATTAACCCAACCGACCTATAATTAGAAGATACATCTTCAATCTAATGAGTTGGTTTTAAAAGGGATTCTAAATAAGAAGTCCAATCAGACACACCTTTTACACAAGTAACCTAGAAGATAGTATTATTTCTCAATTATACATAGATAAAATCAGAGATGTTAGTGCAGATTATTAAAGAGACTGTTCAAAAAAATTGAGGCTTAAGTTGAAAGAGACCCTATCCACAAATTTATGAAACATAACCTAAGAAAAGCCCAAATGTCACTAGGAATGTAAGACTGAGTTATAAACCCCTAAAAGGGAGAGATGCCTAGTGGAAATGGTGAGTCTCTTCTTTCTTTAAGGACGGGTTCCTGAGCAAGCCCACCACAGCAAATAGAATAATCTGTAATACCCACTACACAGCTCACAACTATATATCCCATTACAGAATACAATAATTGAACTGCTTATGTTCAAGTTTCTATTTTTGGCCATGTTAATACTCATTTATTAGCAGTGCAGGGTTGAAATAACTCTCTGCCACTAGGTGTTTTATTTACTCATTTATTTATTTTAAAGCAGATCTAAGAATGTTCTTTAAAGTGTCTTAAAAACCAGAGTAAAAATATTTCTTAAATAACCCTTTGTCCTACGAACACCTATAAGAAAATGACATTGTCTGAGACAAACATGTCACTTAAAAAACACAAAAGCAGAATACTGAGGAAGCAAATTTAGCTTAAGTGCAGAAAAATATACAGAAATTACTCCACTAAATCTTTAATTTATTAGCATAATAGGACCCCTAATCTTTGCATCTATTGGCGAATGGGACCTGAATATGGAGGATTCAACCTATAGATCTGTCCTTGATGCTTTGCTAAAGTATCTAGACTGTTATCAATGGCACATAGGCACCCTAAAATACAGTTCACTCATCCCGTTGAGGCTCAGGCTCTTGCTTTAAAAAGAAACATGAACAGAAAGGAGGGGCAGACCAACTAAGAAGCAAGTAACTCCACAGTAAGGAAGCAGCAGGAGGAAGTGAGATTATGTCATTATCGTGTTACTATGAAGGGAAGATTTAAATATCAAAAGGAAACAACTGTTTCTATCCCAAAATAAAAATGGATGGTTCATGGGCCCTCATTTCAATTTTTTGTATTCATAAAGGATAAATCCCAATCTTTTGTATCTGCACTTCACACTAACTCCAACTTTATTTGCTTAAAACTTTAACATCATCAGCCTGTGAAGAAATGCACTGTGAGGGGTAGACTCATCTTGTCATCAAAATTCAAAGACATCTTTTTAATTTTTGATCACTGGTAAAACTTTACCCAATAACAGGATGTATTTTAAAAACTTGAATCAATGAAAACATGAATGAAATATGAAATTAAGACTGATTCTGGTGGCCTACTTAAAAAAAAAAAAAAGACTGATCAAGACAAAAGAACCACTGGCTCTGAATCTCTTTGAGAATAACAAATATACTAAGTTCAAGAAATACCACTCCCTCCACACTCAAGGAAACAGTGAGTACAGAGTTAACAATCCAGAATTCATGTTCACTTCCCAACTGCCTGACTAGTACAAATTTAGAGTCATGATTCTTTTTGACATTTACAGTTTAGACATATAAGCTCATGTTAAATGACAACTGGTCTGTCAAAAGTACAGGAAAAGAAAGAACAATTATTTAATTAAAACCTTACTATCTTTTGTTTTTGATTATTGTTCATGTTGCCATTCTCTAGCAAAAAGCAGTTTCCATAGCGTCCACCTCAATCTTATTGCTTTGCAGCCATGGCATTCCTTCCCTCCATTAAAAACACGAAGATGAAACAGTCAATCCAGTGATTAAGTGACATGGCTTTCGTGGGGGGAGGGGATTAGCAAAGAAAAGGCTATGAGACAAAATGGCAACTTAAACACGTCAGCATACAATGGTTTGAGAGAGAGAGATAGATGAAAGAGAGAAAAACATTATTCTAGACAAATGAAATAGCACTGAAAGCCCATGAGTCAAGCCACAGCCCAAAACCGTGTCCTACGGAGGTTTCCTTTTTTGTTTTGTTTTTTAATAAAACCTCTCCTCAAATATCACTTTTAATCTTCCCCTGATGCGGCCTCATCTTCAGACCCTTCATCTCCAGACTTCTCGAGTGCGGGGCTTGCAGATGTCTTCTTTTCTGGAGGGCTTTCTGCTTCCTCCTCCTCTTCTTTGGGAGAAGGAGTTTTTTCCTTTGATGTCTTTGAAGCTGTGGGGCGACCCACTTTCCCTTTGCCTTTCACTGGACTTGGCGTCACTGAAATATAGAAAGTAACAATTTGGGGAACAGAAAAAAAAATGCCTTAAAAAAAAATCAGCTACATAAACTAAAGTCTTTAAGTGTAAAAACTAATCCCATCTTACTAAAAAGGAAATACAAGAAAAGGCTCATTACTCCTAATGAGGATAACTTAACATTCTGAGCAGAAACTAGAGCTATCAAACAGGTTTTGGAGCTTCATCACCCTCTAAAGTATGGAGAGATGAGTAAAACTTTATATAACAAGAAACATATTAATTATATTTGCCAGAATAAAATTCTAAGCAAATCTAGACTTCTGATTTAAGAAACTAGCTCCAACCAAGAAAATATATGACAAAAGCTTTGAAGACCCAGGAGATAAACCTTTACTCTCAAGGGTGGTTTTGTTTTTTCGATCAGTATCCTGACAGAACAGAGGATGAGAACACAGAGCTTTCCCCAGCTGTTAGGACTATTGACCCCAGATACAGCCAATGGTCCCTGAACAGAGGAAGGAACACTGTGCCTCAAACAGTCCAGGCCCATGGACTCTTTTCATTTTTTAAAAAAAAAATAACAAATTTTTATTTTATATACAATGGTGTTTGCTTGTATTCATGTTTGTGTGAAGGTGTCAAGTTACCTAGAAATGAAATTACAGACAATTGTAAGCGGCCATGTAGGTGCTGGGAAATGAACCCAAGTCTACTGGAAGAACAGCCAATGCTCTTAAACACTGAGCTATCCCTTCAGCCCATTCTTTTTGTTTTTTTCAAGACTGTATCATTTTTAAGTATATGTATATGTGTATGCCTGTGCATGCGTGCAGCCTACGTCAGCTGGAGCCACAGCTAGCCACTCCAACATGGCTGTGGATCTGAACTTGGGTCTTCTGGAAACAGTATGAGCTCTTACTGAGCCATCTCTCCAGCCCTCAGCAGTCTTAAAGGGAGCAAAGGCACATGTGTAAGACAGAACGAACCCCTTTGGCTTTCTTGTATTTCTACGAGATACAGGACCAATGCTGAGGCAACAGTTTAGTTCTTGAAAAATGTGGTTTTCCTCTCACAGGACTCACCTGTAGCCTTTAGTCTGGGTTTGGGCATTTTCTTTTCTTTTCTCTCAGGTTTGGACTTCTTAACAATCTTTTTATTTTTCTTTTTTGAACTGCCATAATCACTATCATCGTCGTCTTCCATTAAGAAATCTTCATCGCTGCCAGAATCTTCTGAGAGGAAAGAAGAATTTCAACGTCCAACTTAAATGTACACATCCTTCCAAGTGAACAAAGGGAAAGAGTGCTGAGAATGCTGGAGGAGCGGGGCGTGGGAGCTAAGCACTACTGAGTCAGTGAGAAGGCACAGCATCAATGGTTGGAGTTGGCTTTGCCCACTGTAGAATGGGTACAGTATGGACCTTACATATGCTACATGACTGACTTATTCTAAATACTTTTTATTTTTTAAACTTATCAACAACTCTTTTGAAGAATTTGTTGAAAATGGAATGAATAAGACACAAGATCTGGTCCCAGCATCCAAGAGGCTTAAGTCAGAAGATGGCAAATTTAAAGCCAGCTCTAGCCACATAGTGAGACCAAATACGGCTGGAAATGAACAGCTCAGAGATACAGCACTTGCCTATACTCACTGTAAAGAGCCCTATGATTTTGAATCCTAGTACTAAAAGATAAAAGCCTAGAACCCTTAAATACCAAGTAGCTCTTGGTAGCTGCATCACTCTCATATATACTGTTGAAACTAACCTGAACTGATATGGCAGTTTTTTACTACCAACTGTGAATAATCAAACAAGAACACTCTATATAAAGTAGGACTTCATATAATCTGAGCAACCTGTGTGTGTGTGTGTGGGGGGGGGTTACAAGTTGAAGTGGTCTAAACCCTCTGCCAGGCTAAGATGCAAATTGTAAACACACTATCCATTATTAATGATTATTATAATATTCATTCAGTGTTCAAACACAGAATAGAAACTATGATAAATGATGGACAACCATAAACTTCTCTGATTATGTAAAAAAAAAAAGATATCAAATGTATAGTCATCACCTTTTAAAAATTCAGGACTGGATAGATCTATTGTCAAATTCTACTAAATCTTTTAAAAATGTTTTTATTTTTCACTTATATAAATATACATGTACGCAAAATCCTCTGGAAGAAAAATGGAGCTATCTCCCTATCATCATAGTTTTATCTTTTTCGTTTCCTTTTGTTTCAAGATAGGCATGTACCACTACAGATGCAGTTTTATCTTTTAACAAGTAACATCTACTTAATGTAAGGAACTGGATACAAATATTTACCTAGAAAATACTAAACCAAAGTCATAAACTACAACTGCAAAGAAGGACCAGGACTGGAGCCGCAGCTCCACTGACAGAATCTTGCCCACCACGCAGCCTTGGGTTAGAGCCCCACATCTCCATCAAACCAGGAGTGGTGGTACAGGTGCACCAGTACAGCTCCAGGCTGCCCTCAGCTACACGGTAAGTTAACAACAACGTGGGCTATAGGATAGTCCGTCTAAACCAAGGAGTAAAGGACAGTAGGCAACTTTACATACTCTCCTGGAATGGCGCCTCATCATCTTCTTCTGGCTCTTCCTCACTGCCAACATCTTCCAAGAGCATCTCTCTCTGCTTAGAAGCCGCTTTAGATGCTGCCTGTCGTTGCTGGCGTACATTTTTATGATCATCTTTTTCATCTTCACTGTCTTCTGCAATATAAAAGTTATAGTGATACAACAATCAAAGAATTCTACATCTGCAGATATAGGATATAACAGCTTATTCATTCAAAAGGAAATGAAATCTACCATTAAAAAATTCCACTTAGAGGATGAAGAGTTCAAGACCTATTTGTACTTCAGAGACTGATTTAAAAAAAAAAAACTTGGGCTGAAGAGATGACTCAGCGGTTAAGAACACTGACTGCTCTTGCAGAGGTCCTGAGTTTAATTCCCAGCAACCACATGGTGGCTCACAACCATTTGCAACAGGCATCCGATGCCACCTGCTGGTGTGTCTAAAGACAGCGGCAGTGTACTCACATACATGAAATAAATAAATCTTTAAAAAAAAAAAAAAAATCAGCCGGGCAGTGGTGGCGCACGCCTTTAATCCCAGCACTTGGGAGGCAGAGGCAGGTGGATTTCTGAGTTCGAGGCCAGCCTGGTCTACAGAGTGAGTTCCAGGACAGCCAGGACTACACAGAGAAACCCTGTCTCGGAAAAACCTAAAAAAAAAAAAAAAAAAAATCTTGAAAATATAGTGCTGGGCTGGAGAGATGGCTCAGCGGTTAAGAGCACTGACTGCACTTCCAGAGGTCCTGAGTTCAATTCTCAGCAACCACATGGTGGCTCACAACCATCTGTAATGAGATCTGATGCCCTCTTCTGGTGTGTCTGAAGACAGCAACAGTGTATTCATATATAATAAATAAATCTTTAAAAAAAAGAAAAAAGAAAATGTAGTGCTAATGTTAAAAATCAACAAGTTAAGAATGAGGCGGAGCACAGAAACTCCTTTGGAACCCACAGGCATGCATGCCAATATCTATGGTTGAGGCTTTCCTGTTCCCGCAGCAGTGGTGCTGAGTGAAGTGGGATTAGAAACTCATTTTCAAGTTTTCTCTGTAGAGCTTTGAAAAATTAAATAGTGCTTCCTAGAACCATCAAGGAGCATGTCTGTGACACTACATGTGTAGGAGATATCGAAATAGAAGTCTTCTGTGAGAGGATACCCAAAACATGCGAGAATTTCTTGGTTCTTTGTGCCACTAATTACTATAACGGCTGTGTGTTTCATAGAAATATCAAGGAGATCATGGTTCAAACAGGAGATCCAACAGGTACTGGAGAAGGAGGTAGCAGTATTGGGGCATGAAGTTTGAGGATGAATACAGTGAATACAGTGAAGCACAATGTTTAAGGTGTTCTATCTATGACTAATAACGGCCCAAATACCAATGGATCCCAGTTCTTCATTACCTATGGCAAGCAGAAACACTTGGACATGAAACATACAGTGTTTGGAAAGGTAATAGATAGTCTAGAGACTTTGGATGAATTGGAGAAGTTACCAGTAAATGAGAAGACATACAGACCTCTTAATGACATACACATTAAGGACGTAACTATTCATGCCAACCCATCTGCTCAACAGCTGTAACAGACCTAGACATACACTTGGCAAACACTTAACTGGAGCATGCCCATTGTGGTTTATCCAGTTCTGATTCTGTCAGAGACTGGTCCTTCTTTTGGTGTTTACAGTAAGAGGCTCCATGTGAGAGCCCCGCAGCGTCACTCCCCGCCCCCATATTCTGTGCCACTGCTGTTGTTCAATGTTTACTTTAAATAGAAAGCAATGTCCTTTTTTTATTAAAAAAAATGTAAAATAAATGTAATTGTGATAAAGACTTGGGTGGTCACAAAAATTACAGAGATCTACTTGCCTGTGCCATCATGCCTGGGTTAGGCATATACTTTAAAAAAAAAATGCAAAGCTGAATTATAAATTAAAAATTATGAACACAGTTCCTCTAACACTTTAAACTTATAACTGTTTAATCTTAAAATTATCAATTACATGCAAATCTATGTTTACAGATTTTAGAAGCTAAAGTCAAAAAAATACTTTGAAATAGAAGACCTTCCAATTATTTCTCTCCTAAGATATAAAACACAAAAACAATGCTAAACTAGTACTCCTTACAATGAACTGGTGACCTTTTCAATTTAGAAACAAGCAGAGAGAAATCTTTAAAACACATTTAGATGAGATAGCTAAAGATCTTGTAAACAAGCTTATAAAAATTATTCTCATATACTACAATGAATTAATGTTTCATCAACAGTTATTTAGTATGCTAAATATAAGGCAGGCTGCTAACCTACTAGTTCCAGACTAAATTTCATTCATTCATTCATTTCTTCATTTGGGTTTTTTTCAAGACAGGGTATCTCTGTATAGCCCTGGCTATCCTCAAACTCACAGATATCCACCCGCCTCTGTCTTTGGAGCCCTCGGATCAAAGGTGTGTGCCACCATGGCCAGGCAAACTAATCTTTATTTTACCAGTCTCTACTGAACAGCTCTGTCCGAAACTGTTGGACTTCCCTAATAGAGTATTAGGTTTAGGTGTCAGTTTTTCTCCTTAAAAAAAAACAAAAACAAGCAAACAAACAACAAGAAAAAACAGGGTGCTGAAGAGCTGACTATTCAAGTAAGATTTGTTGCTATTGAAGAAGACCCAGGTTCAGTTCCCAGCACCCACATGATGGCTCATAACTACCTCTACAGCTCCAGAGGATCAAACACCCTTTTCTGGTTCCTGTTGTCCCAAGACATGTACAGGTTACATAAACATACATTCAGAAGAACACTCGTACATATTACAAATAAAGACACAGTACCTTTTATTTATTCATTCTTTGAGAAAAACAGATATACAATGCATTTTGATCACATCTATCCTCCACCACTCTACTCCAACTCCCTAAAATTGGGAGTAACTCCCAACATGCACCCCTTCTAATTTTATGGTGTGCGTGCATGCGCACATGTGTGTCTAAATAAGCCAGTATTACTGTTGTCAATGTGTGAATGGGTATGAGGTCTTCCACCCGAGCATGGGCAAACTACCAGTGGTCACTTTCCAGCAGCTACTGACTGTCAAAGAGTTCCTAAGCCATGGTTGAGTTTTATGAGGCTGCTTTGTGTTTCACACACACAAACAGAATCAAGAAAAGGGACATCCAGGAGGACAAAGGAGGGGCATACTGGTCAAAATTAAAGTACCAAGAGGCAGTAAGGACTACATTTCCCAATCCTCAGGAGTTAAAACACCAACAGCAGGACTGACCAGGCTTTGCTGAGATATTTTACTTTCAATTATGCATACTTGTAAATTACGTGCATGTAAACACAATTGGCTGAGGCCTGAGATATCTCATTTCCCCAGAGGAAGAGTTACATATAGAAAGTTGTAAGCCACCAGATGTGGGTGCTGGAAACATAACTCAGGCCCTCTGCAAAACATCTCAAAATTAAAGGCCTTTTTGAGACAGGTTCTCATTATGTAACCTTGGTCGGCTTTGTACTCTGCAGCAATCTAGAATGCTGACATTTTAGGCAAATTCCACCATATCTGATTCATATTAATTCCTTTAATTCTTTATAATTTTTTTCCATATGGCTATTGTTTTTACTTAGTTTGTTATTATAATTTCTTTATTCATATACAAGTTGATTATCAGCTGGGCATGGTGGCATACACCTTTAATACCAGCAAAAAGCAGCATACAGGTAAACTAAAGGCCAGCCTGGTCTATATAATGAGTTCCAGGACAACCAGGGTCATATGTATGAGATGCTGTCTCAAACAACAAAATAAAGTATTTTTTAACTTCATTAAAAAAAAAATGTACATTGATGCTTTGTCTGCATGTATGTCCATGTGAGGGTGTTGAGCCCCCTGGAATTGGAGTTATGGACAGCAGTGACCCAACATGTGGGTACTGGAAATTGAATTTGGGTTCCCTGGAAAAGCAGCCAGTGCTTTTAACCACTGAGCCATTTCTCTGCCTCCTGCTAATAAAAGGGTTTAAATTTCAATTTTGCATAAAAATAACCTGTAGATACTTAAAAAACAAAAACAAAACAAAAACCAAAACCAAACCAGCCAACAGGATGGAGAATAAATTTTTACCTCTGTGAAAATAGACATGTTTTTATAATCCCAGTATTTGAAAGAATCTGACATATAAAACTGCTCATTAATAAATGAACTATTCCTTATAGAGAAAATCTCTTGTGTACTGTATGGATGTAACACCTGTCAATTAAAGCTGACTGGCCTGTAGCTGAGGCAGAAAATAGAAGGTGGGACATCTCACAGGAGAAGGATTGTGGGGTTGAGTCAGGTGTGGGGAGGATTGGGAATCTGAAGAAAGGTAGTCTGCCACATGGCAGAACCTAGATTAGAATGGGCTATTAATTTATGAGCTAGTCAAAAAACAAGCCAAAGCTTATAGCCAAGATGTTTGTAAATACATTTTGAGTTGTTATTCTGGGAGCTTGGGACCAGGAGGAAAACAGCCCGTTACAATTCCTTCTTCAATAAATATGGTTTACCTGCTGAATGAGAATCATCCTTCTTGGTCTTCACATCTTTTTCTTCAGAGTCTTCACTATAAGGCAAAAGAAAAAAGAAAATGCTTAAAAGTCTTAGATCAAAGGTTGAATGATCACTGTGGCTACACTTGTAATCCCAGGGTAAAGATGCTCAGACAGGAGGACTGATACCAGCTCAGACCCACCCTGGCTACATAGTGTTTTAGGCTAGCCTGCACTAAAAACAGGACCCTACACTGGGTATAGTAGTAGATGCCTTTAATCTCAGCATTTGGGAGGCAGAGACAGATAGATTTCTGTGCATTAAATGATGACCAAGTATAGAAACAAGACTTTGGCTTTAAAAAAATTAAGACCTTGTCTTGAGGGGGGAAATGCAATCAGATTTCTGATATTATTTAATTCCAGAATTAAAAAAGTATGTCGAAAAATACCCCTTTCACATAAGAAATGTTCAAACAGGTGCTGCGGAATGGAACTGCTTCAGTATTATTGTACCTTACAGGGATGCTAGAATAGGTGTAATTTTACTCATCATGGGAAAACAAACTAAGTCCCAACAACGAAAGAAAGCTTACAAATCTAACTTATGATCAAGTGTATGATTTTCTCGTTATTTCAGTGAGAAAATTCAAGAAAATGCTTAATTTTAAATAGAAATGAATAGAAAACAAAGCATTGGTTTGTAGGTTTAAGATCAACCTGAAGACTAGCCTGAGCGACTTACTGCCTAGCTTCTGACTAAAAACTAAGCAACCAAACAACAATGAAAAAAACTTAAGCCAGATATAATGACAAACTGTAAATGTTTCATATTTAGAAGAAGCATAAATGAATATAGTAATTATTTCTAAGTTGGGCTATTGAAAACTGTTTAAGAGTAGGTGGGTGATACCAGCATTCAGGAGGCAGAGGTAGGCATATCTCTTGTGAGTTCAAGGCCAGCCTAGTCTACAGAGTGAGTTCTAAGATAGCCAAGGCTACACAGAGAAACCCTGTCTCAAAACAACAACAACAACAAAACAACAAAACAGAAAACTGAGCGATTTAATATAAACTTGAGAAGATTTGTCTCCTACTGGCATAATACTATTTTCTTAAAATCACATTTCTGAAATTCTCTACTAAAAACATTAGAAGTTGAGTATATAAAAAAAAAACAAAACCTACTCAGTAAATGAATATTCAGTGATTTTAATATTCTAAGATTTTTTATTTTAAAATTAATATTTCACGTATATATGTGTTTTGCCTGCATGTGTCTGCATACCAAGTGTGCCTAGTGCTCATGGAGACCAGAAGATGGTGTTAGATCCCCTGAATCTAGGATTGAAGATAGTTGTGAGCTGTTATGTGGATGTTGAAAACAGAACAACCACCAGTGACATTGAGCCACTTCTCCAGCCTCCAAGATTTTTACAATGCTCAAGAAATATTATTTATTTACTTGAACTGCTATCTGTATGTAAGAGGAGCAGTTGGGAGTGCTATAGCCTGACTGTAAAAAGTAGAGTTTGAGTTTCCCCAAGTATAGTGTCAGAGTCTGCTATTCTAATTCCTTGGCAACTCCCTGCTTCAATGAACAAATTCTCAACCTTACAGATGTGTTGTAAGAACTGAACGACATAAAGCACAATACAACCCGACACTAATATCCTCCTGCCCCACCCACCACGTTTTCAAGTAATACACTATGAAAAGTGTGCACATTGAAAACCAGGAGGAAAACTTAATCATCCTCCTCTCAATGTAGCTATTTTACAGTTCAATTGCAATTCACATGAACACATTTCTAAAAGTAAGGGAACAGAGGTTCGGAGCACATGTAAGGTCCAGGCTCCATTGTTAACACTACAGTAAGAGAAAAGAAAATTAGGAAAAGGCAACTGTCAAACATGATTACCTGAACAAGAAAGACTTATTTTAAAAGTACAATTCAGCCGGGCGGTGGTGGCGCACGCCTTTAATCCCAGCACTTGGGAGGCAGAGGCAGGCGGATTTCTGAGTTCGAGGCCAGCCTGGTCTACCAAGTGAGTTCCAGGACAGCCAGAACTACACAGAGAAACCCTGTCTTGAAAAACCAAAAAAAAAAAAAAAAAAAAAAAAAAAAAAGTACAATTCAATAGGATATAGGATACAAAGCTTAGAACTGCACAATCTTTAGTTATGATTCTGCTATTGATCTAACTGAAGAGGACTACAGTGAAATGTCAACACCAACCTTAGATAACAAATCACAACTTAAAACTCTTTTGGCTCATGCTCTTAAGTTCCAGCAAGAAGCATTCTTGGAGCTCACTGCTGATCAATAGCTCAGACCAAATTGCTTCTGGGGAAGAGGCTGACCTCCACGCCTGAAGCACACCTCCATAATCTGAAACGGACTGCACACAGAAGCCTCACCAGTTTGATGCCTCCTACCTGTCTTCCTGTGAATTTTTTCCAGATCGCCTCTTATTTTTAGCCTCTCGGGGAGATGACCGAATCTTCTTAGCAGGAGGGCCTGAATCTCTCCCATAATCTTCATCTAAACAAGAAAAAAAAATTCAAATTCAGTTAACTGTGTTTACATGCTGAAATCAGACATTACTCCTCATGCTTTTTAAATAAATGGGAACAGATTTCCCCCCATAGTTCCTTTAAAGGGGGAGGGGAATGTGGAGAGATAGTTCGGTGGTTAAGAGCACATATGCTGTTCTTCCAGAAGACCTAGGTTTGATTCTCAGCACCCACACGGTGGCTCCCAACACTAGTTCCAGAGGATCTGCTGTCCTCTCTTTTGGCCTCTGGAGGCATCAAACATATACGTAGGCAAAACACACAAACAAAAAAGTATTTTAAAAAATTAGGGCTAGGAACATTTATTACATAACATACAGAAGGCTGAATTCTATTTCTATTATCATAATAAATAATTTAAAAAGGAAAAGCAAGATGGATCAGCAGTTAATGGCACTTGACTGTGCAAGCCCAAGCCCTGATTTAGAACCCCAGAAGTCATGGTAGAAGAACTCATTCAAAAGTTTTCCTGACTTCCACATGTGCCCACTCTTATGTACATGCATCACAAACAAGCAACACACAACTAAAAATAAATAAAATTCACACCCCCAGTCTCACCTATTTTAATTCCATTTTACATAGCGTCTAGTCTTTATATAAAACCGGTCACACATCCACACCATAGCTGTTATTTTGTAACATTCCCATTTAGTTTAGGATTTCCCCATGCTTTAACAACTTCATATTCTCTTGAAAATATAGCAGTATGGTTTTATCATAATCATCTCAAGAAAGTAAGAACCTAAAATTCTACAATATTTTTTTTCCGAGTTTCTCTCTGTATAGCACTGGTCATCCTCAAATTCAGAGATCCACCTGCCTCTGCCTGGACTGCTGGAATTAAAGGTGTGCGCCACAGTACCTGGCTTCAAATTCTACACTCTTAACACAATATTCACAATACTGTAATCAAGTAAATTACTCTAATTGAAGTATTAAATATATCACGCACTCTGGATGCTTCTAACTTTAGGAAAACACCCTACAATTTCAAAAGCCTCATAAGAAACCCTCACCATAGCTGCTGATTACTCTCAAAGCTGTTGCTCCGCTTCTTCAAGTAATGGTGAGAAATGAGGAAGTTAGCACTCCAGCAATTCTTAAATTGCTGGATTCATTATAAATTCTGTAACAGAATTTAACCATTTTTAGAATTTAATTCTAACCATTAACAGCAATACTTATTTTAATTATGTGTCTGTAGGGTATATAGAATATTGACCTGAACTCAGGTCCTTTGCTTCTTAAAAATAGCTTAAGAAAAGGAAGAGGAAGAGAAAAACAGCCTTAAGTGTGATGAGAGCAGTGTCCAAAATTCTACAGCAAGACCCTTAGCCATATTAAAAAAAAACAAAAAAACCAAACCATCACAAAAAACAACCAAACATTTACTGTTATGTGTATGGGTATGCCTGACAGGTCATATGTGTAGAAGAAAGAAGACTATTTGTAGAAGTCAGTTCTCTCCTTCCACCATGAGTATTCTGGGGAGTAGCTTCAGTTGTCAGACTGGGCATGAAGCATCTGCCTGCTGAGCCATACTGCAGTTCAACTACATTTTTAAAAGATGATGAAAGTCAAGAAGAAAAAGGTCAAAAGAGCTATACTCCAACTAAAGGACATTATCAACTCTACTTCAGTTTCCTAAGTGTAAAATGAAACAAGAGATCCCACAACAGCGATGCTCTTAAAAAAAACAAAACAAAAAAAACCCCAAAAAACAAAAAACAAACTTATTAGGGCTGGGTGTGGTGATGCACATCTTTAATTCTAGCACTCAGGAGGCAGAGGCAGGTGGACCACTGAGATCGAGGCCAGCCTGGTCTACAGAGTGAGTTCCAGAATAGCCAGGGCATAGAGAAACCTTGTCAACCCGCCCCCAACCAAAACTTTATTAAATATAAACATTTAGAACAATTTCTGGTATGTTTTAGAGACGAAATTACATATCAACTTTTTAATTCTTCTGTCTATCTTCCAAGCCTTCTCAAGGAGTACATTATCTTTATAAAGTAAAATTGAGAACACTGGCTGATCTTCCAGATGACCAGGGTTCAATTCCCAGTTTAGTTAGCAGTGGGTATTTTACACAAATAAAAACTGCATCAGTTACTGAACATTTAACCTTTGGATCCTAAAACCAGATTTAAAAAAAAAAAATCAGGTGTTCATTTCAATGATTTACAAAAAAAAGCTACAAGCCAGGCAAGTGGAACACTCCTGCCATCCAGCCACTGTGAGGCTTGAGTTCAAGGACAGCTGAGGTCATCACATAGCAGACCTTTTCTCAAAGAAAAATGGGCAAGTCCATCATTTTCTTTGACACACACTCCTGAGTAATTTTAAATAACAGAGACTACTAAAAGCATAACATCAAGTACATAAGCTGACAGCATGTCAGCACAAGTCTTGTAGAACCACATTTACAGAACAAAACATACCTGCATCATCTGATTCCTGAAACTGTGAATAATCAACGACCTTCCTATTTCTGTAGAAAGAGACAAATTCAGATTATTAAAAAAAAAAAAAGTACAGCTTCTAAAACATAAGAATGCTCATTTTAGCTTTATAAACAGAATAGTTCTTAGGCCAGGTGTAGGGTGCATGCCTTTAATTCAGTTCTTAGGAGAGAGGTGGGCAGACCCTGCCTCAAAGAACAAAAAAGTCTCAGACTTATACTACTCACTCCAGTAACAACTTAAACATTGTTCTCAAGTTTTACATTTCCCACCTCCCCCAAAAAACAACAGGCAAGTTCACCATGTGCATTCATTATATATAGACTATTATATCCACAGGTTAAATTTTTAAGTATTATTTTACCACCCCATTCCCATATATTATGTAGACATGGCTGTCCTAGAACTTGCTTTACCAGGCTATCCTCTAAGATTCTCTTTCTTCTGCCTCCCCAGTGCTGGGATTAATGATATGAGCCACAATTCATGGCTGTCATTTTATTCTTACTGTTATCTATAGAAACACTTATATGTGAAAAAAAAAACCAGATTACTGCTAGGCAAAAAACAAGCTTTTTAAGGTGTAATAGTTATAATGCTACCAAATATAACATTAAACTTTAGAAAAAAATTTTTTTTTGTCTTTTTTGTTTGTTTCTTTTTTCAAGATAGGGTTTCTCTGTGTAACACTGGCTGTCCTGGAACTCACTCTGTAGACCAGGCTGGCCTCGATCTCAAAAATCCAGCTGTCTCTGTCTCCCAAGTGCTGGGATTAAAGGTGTGCACCACCACTGCCCAGCTAAAAATTTTTTTTTACTGGTGTAGTCAAAGGATGCTTTAAAACAAAATAAATATTGTATACGTATATGGATGTTATCTATGTACCTGCATGCATACCATGTGTTTTGGTACCCATGGAGTGAGGAAGGTCTCAGATCTGGAGCTGGAGCTACAAGTGATAAGGTTGTCTAATGGTGTTTGCTTGTTTTGAGACAGGATCTCACTATGTAGCACAAAATGACTTAAACTCAGGATCTCCTGCTATAATTACAGATGTGTACTACCACACCCAACCAATGGAATTTTTCCTTCAGTTTTGTTCTATGAAAATTATGAAATCTGGAGATGATTTTGAAGTGTAGAGGAGAATGTGCACAGGTCATACATATACAGCATTTCATATAAGGAACCTGAAAGAAATGTGTTTGGATGCTTGTTATATTACAGCTAAAAAGCACCTTTTAAATGAATTTGGTCTTGTGAAGCTGGAAACTGAGAAAATCTACTACGATCAAAATTTAACATTTAAGAGGGGGATTACCTAAGTACAAGGGCATGAGACGTTCTGTTCTATCTATTCCTGGCCAAAACAAACAAAAGTCTAATCAAGATCCTACTAGGGAGCCAGAAATGGTGGCACACACCTGTCATCCCAGCCCCGGAGAAGGTCGGGAGTCTGAGGTGGACTGGGCTGGGCTACAGAAAGCCCTAGTCTCAAACTTCTATTTAAATGTCAAGGGGAACTAACTCTCCAGTTGAACAATAACTACCAGAAACGTGAGCTAATATAGAATTTCAACACAGCACAGATGACTAAACCAGAATGAATCAGTCAGAGCTCTGCCACAAACTAGTTCTATGTCCTTGAGTAAGGGATTTCCCTCACTGACCACGGCTTTTCAACTGTAAAATCAGGAATACAAACTACTCAGTTGTGAGGGTGGAGACAAAGCTGGGTGGTCGATGTGGCTCTTGGCCAGGTCCATTCCCAGCAGGTGGCCATCAACTTGTGAATCTAGCTCTAGAGACTCTTATCCACTCCTCTGGACTCCACACGCACGCACATAATTGGCAATATATATTTGTTTGTATGTATGTATGTATGTACATACATACGTACATATTTAGTTTTGAGACAGTGTCTCACTAAATACTCTTGGCCAGCTTGAACTTAAAGACCGGCCTACCTCTGGATTAAAAACATGTGCCACCACACCCAGCAAAAATAAACCTTAAAACAAAGTGTATCAAAATTGTCCCAGGAATGAGTGGTAGGTAAATAATGACTAATAAAAATCAGTTGTTATTACTTCTATCTCCTTTCTTTTATGTTAATTTATTTCCAGCATTTTCAAGGTTCCTTTTAGGTTGAGAAGAGTATTCATTTTATTTCTTAATCAGTGTCCATTCAGAAGAGGGCAACAGATCTTCTGAAACTAAAGTTATGGACAGTTGTGAGCTAGTAACATGTAGGTACTGGGAATCGAACCTGAGTCATCTGAAGTGCTCTTAACCACTGAACTACCCCTTTAGTCTCAAACAGTATTTTAGAGGCATCAATTGGATTATAGCAATTTCCATCATTTAAGTCAATGGGAGTTCCATCCAAACAAGTCTAAAAACGTTGTACTAGAAAGAATATCTCCAACATAAGGAAACACGAATGTCCCAGTTTCTGGGTGGTGGAAACAGGAGGATTATGTTGTTGTGAGTGTGTGAAGTCAGCCTTAGCTATCAAGAGAGATTTTGCTTTAGATACAAAGGAAAAAATACACTTTGGGGACCAGAGTATATATATAATTCTGCAGTAGAATGTTTTATTAGTGGCTCCCCACCCCAAATAAAATAGGGGTAGGGAATGCTTGTTTACAAGGAACTATTTGGTCTCAAACATGGGTAAGGGGGAAGTAATTTAAAGGTGACAGGATTTTTAATGTGAGGCATTGATAGTCAAATATAATCTCAGCATTTGGGAGGTAAAGGCAGGAGGATCAGGACAGCATCTTCAGCTACACAGGTGAGTTCAAAGCCATCCTGTGCTAGCTACATAAGATGCTGCCTAACACCCCCACCCAAACCAAGAGAACTTTAATTGTAATTATCAACTTCTTTCTACTAAATAGCAACAGAAAGTTGAGGGTTGGTAAAATGGGTAAAGGTAAGTGTCACCAACTCTGATGACCTGACCCCAATCCCTAGAACCAACATGGTAGAAAAGGAGAATGCCTCCCACAGTTGTCCTTCAGCCTTCACATGCCCTATGTGACATGTGCATAACATATCCACATACAGTAATTTAAAAAACAAAAAAACCCAAAAATATTGGGTTCACATGCTAGGAATTTCATTTTTGTCTGCTGTAAGAAAAAGTATTCTCTCTGAAGAATGAAAGAGTAGTATCTTAGAATTTGAAATTACCATGTTTTAAAATTATTTCACTTGGGTCTGGGCAGATAGCTCAGTGGTTAAGAGCACTGGCTTCACTTTCAGAGGCCATGATTTCAATTCTCAGCAACCACATGGTGGCTCACAACCATCTTGGAATGAGATCTGATGCCCTCTTCTGATGTGTCTAAAGACAGCTACAGTGTACTCATATACATTAAATAAATAAATAAATAAATAAATCTTAAAAAATTATTTCACTTAACATCCTTAATTCTACAATGAGAAGCTGAGGTCATGGAACTTAGCTCTCTGTTTTGTTTTGAGACTAGCTCTCACTATGTAGCTCTGACTAGTCTGGAACTCTGTAGACCAGACTGGCATTAAAGCTGTGTACACATGCCATGTGTACCACAGAATTGATAACAAGTCTCTAACAATTCTGCACATATATCGTAAATCTAAGTAGGGATAGCTGCATTAACACTGGTAATTGACTGTCAAACGCAAACCCTAATTATCAGGACTTAAACTTTATACCACACAGAGCACAGCCATTAAAAAAATTAAATCCAAGAGATTTTTAAACAATCTATAGTTGTTTACAATCACTTGTAACTCCAGTTTTAGAGGACCCAACACTCTCTTGGCACAAGACACTCAGATGGCACCCTCTTACACACACCCATTTGCTAACTTCATTCGACAGTTGGTAGTCAACATCTCATTTATCAGATGAATGAAATTCTGAAGAGCGAGGCTTTTCAATTTATAGGCCACAGACCTCTGTTACTGGGCCTGGGAATCAACTTTTTGTTAAGGGATACAAATAGCATTTTAAAAGAAAAAGAGCGAATTGACAGTAACAGAGAAAAACTGTACCCTAACATCTAAGCTCACAAAAAGCTGATTATAATTACATTTATTTCTGACTGGAATTCTACGAAAGTTCAAAAGCCACTTAGGGACAAAAGCAGACAGACTGCAGAGACACATTGGAATTTTAGGTTTTACTTTTAGAAGAAAAAGTGTTGATAACCTATGTGCACAAAGTGGTATTTGTGTGAGTAAATGCCACACATGTACAGGTGCTCAGGGAAGAGACCACAAGAAACAAAGTCTAGGTGTTAACTCCCCAAGAGCTGGTTATAGATGGCTGTGGGCAGCAGGGTCCTCTGAGCAAGTGCTCTTAATCACTGAGCTATCTCATCAACTCTTTCTCTTCTAGTTTGGCCTAAAATATGTATATTTTTGAGCCCAGGTTGGTTTGAAATTGGTGAGCTTTCTACTTTAAACCTCCTATATGCTGGGATTATAGAAGAGGACCACCAATCCTGGCTCAAGATCAAGATATATATATATATATATATATATTTTTTTTTTTTTTGGTTTTTCGAGACAGGGTTTCTCTGTGTATCCCTGGCTGTCCTGGAACTCAGAAATCCGCCTACCTCTGCCTCCCAAGTGCTGGGATTAAAAGCATGCGCCACCACCACCTGGAGATATATATATATATTTTTTTTTTTGCTTGAGAGAGCAAGAATCTTACTCTGTAGCCAAGCTGGGCTCCATAAAAATGGCTTAGAGTTTAAACACTGTTAGATGTATGCCTTTAATCCCAGCATGTGGTGGGCAGAGGCAGGTGTGGGTTCTGAGGCCAGCCTGGTCTACATAGCAAATTCCAGGACAGCCAGGGCACAAACAAATGAACAAACAAACCAACACTAGATTTTGATAGTGATAGGGAGACACATGGTAATTTTTAGCAGATTCATTGAATTCTAAATAATTTTATCCAACCTTGGAATCTTGTCAACATAATCCCAAAAGAGAACTAAGAACCACTCATGATCTCCAAGGTAGT